TGGCCAGACAGATGATCTGGATTTGAAATTTGGCATTACCATTTATTAAACCTGTAATCTGTGGCCAGTTACCTAATATCTCTGGTCTTCTGTTTCCCAGTCTATCCAACAGGAAGAGTTCGTAGTATCTACCCAGGGGAGAAGTTGCAAGGGGATAGAGTCATATTTCAAATTTGGCCTATACATTCAGTGAATGGAATTTTCTTCTCTTCTTGCCTGAATTACCTAAAGAAGAGGCAGAGCTGGCTATGCCTCTGACCCATGCTGGAACTAGGGTGAGCAGGGCCTAGGAGATAGGCCCTAAGTTCTGACGCCTCTTTGCCCTCTGCCTTCCCCTGTCTTCAGGTCCTGGAGAGTCAGAGAAGGTGCAGCAGCTGGAGGAGCAGGTGCAGAGCCTGACCAAGGAGCTGCAAGGCCTTCGGGGAGTCCTGCAGGGATTGAGTGGGCGCCTGGCAGAAGATGTGCAGAGGGCTGTGGAGACAGCCTTTAATGGACGGCAGCAGCCAGCAGATGCAGCTGCCCGCCCTGGCGTGCATGAAACACTCAATGAGATCCAGCACCAGCTGCAGCTCCTGGACAACCGAGTCTCCACCCACGACCAGGAACTGGGCCACCTCAATAACCACCACAGTGGTGGCAGTGGTGGAGGCGGTAGGGCCCCAGCCCCTGTCCCAGCCCCTCCTGGCCCCAGTGAGGAGCTGCTACGACAGCTGGAGCGGCGGCTGCAAGAGTCATGCTCTGTGTGCCTGGCTGGGCTGGATGGCTTCCGCCAGCAGCAGCAGGAGGACAGGGAGCGGCTTCGAGCACTGGAGAAGCTACTGGCCTCTGTGGAAGAGCGGCAGCGGCAACTCACAGGGCCTGCTATGGGCCGCAGGCCCCCTCAGGAATGCTGCCCTCCAGAGCTAGGCCGACGACTGGCAGAGCTGGAGCGCAGGCTGGACGTAGTGGCCGGCTCAGTAACAGTGCTGAGTGGGCGGAGAGGCACTGAGCTGGGAGGAGCTACTGGGCAAGGGGGACACCCCCCAGGATACACCAGCTTAGCCTCCCGCCTCTCTCGCTTGGAGGACCGCTTCAACTCCACTCTGGGTCCCTCAGAGGAGCAGGAGGAGGGCTGGCCTGGGGGTCCTAGGGGGCTGGGCCTCTGGCTGCCTGCTGCCCAGGGACGGCTGGAGAGGTTGGAGGGACTGCTAGCCAATGTGAGTGGGGAGTTGGGTGGGCGTCTGGATCTGCTGGAAGAGCAGGTGGCAGGGGCTGTGCAGGCATGTGGGCAGCTCTGCTCTGGGGCTCCTGGGGATCAGGACTCTCAGGTCAGTGAGATCCTCAGTGCCTTAGAGCGCAGGGTACTGGACAGTGAGAGCCAGCTGCGACTGATGGGCTCAGGTCTACACAAGGTGGGAGCAGCAGGGGAGGCCCAGCAGGCCACGCTAGAGGAACTGCAAGGGATTGTGAGCCAGCTCCAAGAGCGTGTGGATGCACAGGAGAAGACGGCTACAGAGCTCACACTGCAGCTGAATCTCACAGTGGCACAGCTGAGCCAGTTGAAGGGTCTTTTGCAGGCCCGTGGGGACGAGGGCTGTGGGGCCTGTGGCGGTGTCCAAGAAGAGCTGGGCCGTCTACGGGATGGTGTGGAGCGTTGCTCCTGCCCTCTGTTACCTCCACGGGGTCCTGGGGCTGGCCCGGGTGTTGGAGGACCAAGCCGTGGGCCTCTAGATGGTTTCAGCGTGTTCGGGGGCAGCTCTGGCTCTGCCCTACAGGCCCTGCAAGGAGAGCTCTCTGAGGTCATTCTCACCTTTAGCTCCCTCAATGACTCACTGCACGAGCTCCAGACCACTGTGGAGGGACAGGGTGCTGATCTGGCTGACCTGGGGGCCACCAAGGACAGCATCATATCTGAGATTAACAGATTGCAGCAGGAGGCCACAGAGCATGCTACAGAGAGCGAGGAGCGCTTCCGAGGCCTGGAGGAGGGACAGGCACAGGCTGGCCAATGCCCGAGTCTGGAGGGGCGATTGGGCCGTCTTGAGGGAGTCTGTGAGCGTTTGGACACTGTGGCAGGGGGACTACAGGGCCTGCGTGAGGGCCTTTCCAGACACGTGGCTGGGCTCTGGGCTGGGCTACGGGAAACCAACAGCACCAGCCAGACACAGGCAGCCCTGCTAGAGAAGCTGCTGGGGGGTCAGGCAGGCCTGGGCAGACGGCTAGGTGCCCTCAACAGCTCCTTGCTGCTCCTAGAGGACCGTCTGCAACAGATCAGCCTGAGGGACCTCACTGGTAAGGGGCAAGAAGAGGCATGGGGAGACCCTTTCCAATCCCTTTCCTTCTTCTCCCACCCCACAATAGCCCAGGCTTGATCTTCTCCCTGTTCTGTCCAGCATGAACTACAGCTCCAACCAATGTCCCAGGGGTCACAGTGTGTCCAGATATGATGCAAGGTTCTAGCTGCCTGCCTTCTCTCTGGCTGCTCAGATAGGTCTGTGGGTGGAGGTGGGATGTTGCTCTGCCAACATCCAGCATGGGCAGCAAGGGTCCCATCTCCCCATCATCCTGCAAGTCCCACCTATTTCACCCCATCTCCCTATCCATGGAACCATCTTTCTCATCCATTGAATGCTCCCTTTAGGGCTCTCCTTCAACTTATTTTTGTCTCCATAGGGCCTTCTGGTGAGGCTGGGCCTCCAGGGCCTCCTGGTGTACAGGGACCCCCAGGCCCTGCTGGACCTCCAGGACTTCCAGGCAAGGATGGACAAAAGGGGCCTATTGGCCCACCAGGTATGTGGGCTGCGACCCCTGCTGGAGCTAGGGTTGCCACTCCCTGGGCAGCCCTTAGCTTGACATTAATTACACTCTGAGCTTGATAGAGAAGGGGAAGCGAGTAAGAAATAAGGGACTCCGGATGACTAAAAGTAGATAGAGGAAAGTGACTAGTAGCTGGCATAGTGCCTGCATTTGAATATGTTGGTCCCACTGCTGTACTGGAGACTAAGGCTGAGCCTACACAGACATCTGGGGGTGTGGAAGAAAGTCTAGAGGCAAGGACTCATGGTCCAACAGTCAAACAGAATGGACCTTACCTATCTTTCTTTTTGGTATTGGAAATTGAACCCAGGGTCGCTTAACAACTGAGCCACATCCCCAGCCTTTTTAAAAAATGTTTTATTTAGAGACAGGGTCTCATTAAGTTGCTTAGGGCCTCAGGCTGGCTTTGAACTCACAATTCTCCTGAGCCCCTGGGATTACAAGTGTGTGCTACTATGCCTGGCTATTCCTCCTTTTCTTGATCCCCCTTTTTTGCTTTGAAATTCACATAGCACCCAGAATGGCAGAAGTGACACAGCAGATGTTTGCTGAGTGATTTTGTGAGAGCTGCCCTCCTTCTCACTGCTCCTTTTTCTCTTTCCACAGGTCCCCAGGGTGAACAGGGTAAGTTCCTCTCATTAGGTGCCAGAGGGAGAGCTGATCTCTGGCTGGAGGATGGAAGTCCTCAGGCAGCCCAGATGGAGATCCCCTAGGGAAAGGGAGCCAGCTCTGGCTGAGCATCCACTCTAACACCTGCCCTACCCCCATGCAGGAGTGGAGGGGGCACCAGCAGTGTCTGTGCCTCGGGTGGCATTTTCAGCTGCCCTGAGTTTGCCCCGGTCTGAACCAGGCACAGTCCCCTTTGACAGAGTCCTGCTCAATGATGGAGGTTACTATGACCCAGTGACAGGTAAGCCAGGGAGGGGCTGAACTGAGCGTTTGGGGGAAATGCAGGAGGCTGGGCAGTGATGTCTTCTCATTCTTACTCCTTGATATAATGCCAATCTTTTTACACTCTGACTTGAGGAGACCCCTACTCTAAGAATCTACGCTCTGGGAGGCCTTCCAGGCTACTGTCTTCCCTTCTGATCGCTATCCTTGTCCCCAGGTATATTCACCGCACCACTATCCGGACGCTATTTGCTGAGCGCAGTGCTGACTGGGCACCGACACGAGAAAGTGGAGGCAGTGCTGTCGCGCTCTAACCTGGGCGTGGCCCGCATAGACTCAGGCGGCTACGAGCCTGAGGGCCTGGAGAACAAGCCGGTGGCAGAGAGCCAGCCTAGCCCGGGTGCTCTGGGTGTCTTCAGCCTCATCCTGCCGCTGCAGGCGGGGGACACAGTCTGCATCGACCTGGTCATGGGGCAGCTGGCACACTCGGAGGAGCCACTCACCATCTTCAGTGGAGCGCTGCTCTATGGCGACCAGGAGCTTGAACAGGCGTAGGCGGGACTGGCCTGACCGCCAGGATGGTCTACACCCGCCACAGGGCCAGCAGGGCGTCGGGATCTCGGCTCCCGGCCTGGGTCGGGACACTCAGCCTTTGGCAATCCGCTGCACCTGGCCCCGCCACGATACAGGCGCCCACAGCGACCTCTCCCCACGCCAGGTGCGCGCCGGCTCGGGGACTTTGGCCTCCCTTTGTCCAGACTGAGTCTGACCAATGTCCCTTCCAGAATGCCCTCCAGGACCCGGACTGCGGTAAAGGAGCCGATCCTTGCACCCTTTGCTCCCTCAACCTGCGCTCTAGGCCGAATGCCCGGCTTCTGGGCTATGCCCAGCGGGCTCCGGCCCATAGCGCCATACTAAACAATTCAGGAATAAAGACACTTGGTTTTTTCTACAAAAACATTACTGTTCTGCTCCAGTGCGTGCTCAGGGGTTGACAGGAGCACACGTGACGCGAGGAGACGGAGGCCTATGGAGGGGACCCGGGGCCCGCTCGGCTCGGCTCCGGGTGGCTCCGCCCACCTAGAGTGCGGGGCACTGGCCGCCAGGTGAGCCAGCATTTTCGGGCCCCAGCCAGCACGTCCTCCTGGTCGTGCCTATTCTCTCGCGTCCGCCAGAGGTCGCTGGGCACGAGACCTTAGAGCAGCTGGGCTGGGTTCCCCGTCACGTGACGCCCCGCAGTCCGCCTGGCTCCGGGCAGCGGAGGTGGGGTGCAGGCTGGGAAGGCCCGGGTTTCGGGGTCGGGGCGGCGGGCCCGAGCTAGCGGAGGTTGGGGCTACTAGCTCAGGGCTGCGGCGGCCAGACCAGGCTCCACGCCATTGTCCAGGGTCAGGAGTCAGAGCTGCAGGTGCAGGACAGGGCGGGCCAGGTGGCGCATTACTAGCGCCTTTCGCGTTGTATTCTTGGGATTGCCTAGCTGCGCTCTAGAGGTTTGCATCCGCCCAGTGAGGAAACTGAGGGCGAGAAGTGGGAGGAGGTGCCATCTGCAGGGCCAGGCCATCTGCACCCCTCCCCACTGCACTTCTCCGGGGACGCCGCAGGCGCTTCCCTGAAGGAGGAGCCCCGCGCGCGGAGGAGGAGCCAGGGCAGCCCCCGGGAGCCAGAACACCATTCTCCAGGATAAGAGACAGATTCTGACAGGCACCCCGCCACGGGCAGGAGGTTCGGGGCACAGCCTCATGGAAGAGAAGCAAATTCTATGCGTGGGGCTGGTGGTGCTGGATATCATCAATGTGGTGGACAAGTACCCGGAGGAAGACACGGATAGCAGGTAGGGGCGCCCAGGCCCCTCGGAGACCCCACGGGCTGTTGGATCTCCAACAGCGCCCGGCGCAAGTGTTCCAGGCTGCTGAGGCAGGGACCCCACAGTGAGGCGGTGAGGGTCCAACCTCAAAAGCCCTCTGCCAGGGAAGCCTGGGGGCCCTCAGGAGAGAGGAGAGAATGGAGGACTTTCAAAATAAGACTCAGGCTTTGTATAACGTTTGTAGCCTGTTCCCATCTTAACTGTGGGACTGTGCCCGGCACCAGGATCCCCATTTTACAAGCAAGTAGAGACTGAGGGATGAAGTGATTCGCCCAAGGGGGCGCAGTTAGGAAGACGCAGAAGGTGTGGAGCCAGTTTTCCTTTTTTTAAAACTCCAAACCTATGCACTTGCCTCTCACCAAATTTACCTCTAATTTATTTGACACACACATATCTCAACTATTTCTTAAAAATATAAGGTCGCTTGCAGTGAAAGGTATGTGCAGTTAGATTGGCATTTGAGCTTTGACTACAGCTCAGGGCTCACTAGCTCTGTGGCATCAGGGTCAGGGGAAGCTTTTTTCTAATGTTAAATCCAAAAGGAATCTACCAGAGGCCTTTTTACAAAGACAGGTGAACAACAGTGGACACATCCTCCTTAGTTGTCTGGTGGAAGTTGAAGTTGAAAAGTTATTGGACAGTTCTTATCTTTACTTTTTATTTTATTTTTAGTATTTTTAGTCATAGATGGACACAATACCTTTATTTTATTTCTTTACTTTTTTAATCTGGTGCTGAGGTTCAGAACCCACTGCCTCACATGTGCTAGGCAAGCGCTCTACCATTGAGCTACAACTCCAGCCCTTATCTTTACTCTTGATAAGGGCCACCCAGTGTCAAGCCACTGAGGTGTTTCTGAGGGGTGGAACACTGGCTTTCTCTTGGTGCAACCTACTACTCCAAGCAATGAGAATTGCTCCGTAGGTATTGGTTGTCTCAACCAAGAACTTGATGAAATGCAGTTCAGGGCTGAACTCTGGCAAGACACTACAGCATGGACAGCTACAAGGCTGGCCAAAGCGGGAGACCAGGTTGCCCTTCTGGCTTTGAGTCCACAGAGCACTGTCACATACACTGTTTCATACCTTCCCTGGGACCTGTGTAAGCACCAGTCAAATCCTTCTTATATATGAGGAAACTGAAGATCTGGAGAAATTCAATGATTTTTATCAGGCCCCATATTTAGTAAGTAGCAGAGCAGCGATTACAATTTATGTCTCCGACCTCCAAGTCTAGTGCTGTGGTCCTCTGCCATCTCCTGTCTTTCCTGTCCTTTTGCTGCCTCTCATCTCATGGAGTTAACCCTCTGCTTTGGGCTGCTTTGTTTGTCAGAGGTTTAGAACCCCTTGTCAGGGTGCAGAGACAGTGGGGAAGGGGCACTAGATATGCTGCTATGTAGACCTAACTCACCTACCAAAGTAGAACCCGCCCCAGGACCTGGTGCTCAGTGAGGAGTTAGCCTTCCTCTCAGGAGAACATGCAAATTCCAGCACTGCAGTTTCTCCAAGGACTGTGTCAGGACCAAGGAAGACTTGAATTGTTGTTCTCCTTAAACTTGACGCTGTGGGAGGCCAGGAGAAGGAGGGCCTGCTAGCTCCCGTGCTGATGAGGCAGCTTCAGAAAGTGAATCCTATGGGAAGTACCTCTATAAGAGACCCTTCCCTTGTTTTCTGAGCTTCTTGCCCTCTGGGTGTGCTGCCTCCCTCCCCCACCTCATCACACTGTTTCTCTATAGCCTGGCTCCTGGACTCTGCTGGGCCCCTCAGAAGAGCAAACCTGAGTTGGACCCATTCCTTCGTGGTCATCTGAGCTCTGCCTGTCCCAGGAATTCTGAGGTTATGGAGCTCAGCCAGACCTGTGAAGAGTGGCCCCTACCTCCCAAGGCCTATGTCAAGGAGAACCTTCCCCAAAGTGTCTTTATGTCTGCTGAGCAGCTCCACACAAGAGTATCAGTGAGACATCGAAAGGTTGTTCAGGGTGATATCCTGTACTTCTTCTTAGAAACCTCATTGATTCTTGGGCTTAACTGATTTTTGTTTCAAAATACAGGGTAAATAATAGTGGCTTTGGAGTTGGGAAACCTGGATTCTAATATCAACTTTACCATTAACTATTTGTATGATCTTTAGCAAGTCCCATTTCCTCTAGGCTCCTCCTTTCTTTTCTTGAAAATTTCCCTAAAGCACATGGCTTGATGACTTTTTGACCCTTTACAAATTTGCATCCTCTTTTCCTCATAAGATCATATTCCCCTGAAGGGAAAGTTTTGTGTACAAGTATACCTTAGTCCAAAGATTCGATTTCACTTATTTCTCTTAATTAGTGGTTATTTATCATTTTTGTTGTTGTTGATAATGGAAATTCTTGTATATTTTTTTAAAAAAATTTTTAGTTGTAGATGGACAATACCTTTATTATAGTTATTTATTTTTATGTGGTGCTGAGGATCAAACCCAGTGCCTCATACCTGCTAGGCAAGCACTCTACCACTGAGCCACAACTCCAGCTCCTTCAGGTGTATATTGTTACTTTCCTTTTGATAGATTTTCAGTAAAGATGGAGAAAAACTGGTCTGTACTCAAATCTTTTGACTTTTGACATAGTAGGTCACCTATTTTTGTTTTGTGGTGCTGGGGATGGAACCAGGGCCTCATTAATGCCAGGGTAAGCCATATCCCCAGCCCTTACAAACTTCTTAAGGAATCAGCATGGGGTTTGCTTTCCTTTCTTGCTCATTTCATTTTATAACTGTTTTATTGTTGAAGTTGACTCTCCCGAGACAGGAGTAGATTGCACATGTGATCCCTTTGAGAGGAGGCCTTAGGAGTTGATCTGGCCATCAAGGGGGAAGCTGAAAGGATGGCCTCTTGGGAACAACTCTGACTGGAGGAAAGGGGTCATTGTGACCAAAAAGAGGACCCAGAGTTAGTGATGGAGCCCAGTGAGTGCTTTCCTGCCCTAAGATCAGGTAAAAGCATAAAAAGTAAATGTTTTGAGCTTGAATGTAACGCAGACTTCAGGGACAGACCTGGCCCACAGCTAAGCCCCTTCCCCTGGCTGAGCCTCAGCTGCTTAGGTGCTCTCTGAGGGACAGTATTTGGCCTTGCTTCTCCCAGGACCAGTTTACTGGTGCTGCAGGGAGGGACCTGCCTTGTGCCTTCCAGGTGTCTCTCCCAGAGATGGCAACGTGGAGGCAACGCGTCCAACTCCTGCACCGTTCTGTCCCTGCTCGGAGCCCCCTGTGCCTTCATGGGCTCGCTGGCCTCTGGCCCTGTTGCCGAGTGAGTGCAGGAGGGAGCCCTTGCTGGGGGACACTTGCCTTCAGGGTGTGGAGAGAAGGGTGTCTGAACCCTGGGTGGGTGGGGTAGAAGAAATGAATAGTGGCCACCAGAAATGAGTGGGAGTGGGTACAGTGGAGTCCAGACTCTGAGACCTATCTGAGGTGGCCGGTCCACCATTCGGGTATTAACACTGTTCCTGCAAAGATTTCTTTTCCACAGCTCGCAGCAAAGCCTACCTAGGTTTCCCCACCTTTTGCTTCCTTCCTTGCTTCCTACAGATTGTGATGGATTCCCTTTGCCCTTCTCCAGACCTTTATCTTGACTATGCTCAAGCGAGAAGGCAGTTAGGGACACACTGTCCTCACCCTCCTCAGGGATATCCAGCACCCATGATCCCAGGGTCCAGGCTTACATTTTATTTCCCCATTGAAGGGCAGGGCCAATGTTCATGTCCTTGTTGTTCACTGAAGTAGCAAGAGTGCCCTGCTCGGGACATCTCAAAGCCTCGTGCTAGAGGTAGCCGAGAATCCACACCTCCCAGCCTGCTGTGGAGGCTGCGGCCCATAAGTGGCCCACGCGCTTTCTCCATGTTGACTGCTGCAAGGACCCAAAAGCCCTTTGACCTCTGGCACTGCCGACTCAGCAAGCACATATCGGGAATGAGGCCCACACTTTGCCCACTGTGGGCATCAGGGCAGACTGCCAGGTTGCTGTCCTGTGAAGCACAGCCCTTTGAACCCTGGTTTGAAGGGGCTGTTGCCAGAGGCCAACTTCCTGAGTCGCAGTCAAACTCTCTGCCTCAAGGAACTGGCATAAAGCAAGGAGGGGGAGAGAATCTGTCCTGGAGGTGGGACAGAGGGACTTGGCACCAAGGGCTCGTCACTTGTTAACCCTCTTCCGTTAGCTCCTTCCCTCCTACTTGAAGGCAGAACTGTGGCTCTTGCCTAGGACAGTGGCCTCTCCTTTATAAAGCAATCATGCTGGTTGGTGGGCCATTCCGAATTCGCCTCATGTGTTCAACAAACATTTAATGAGCACCTACTCTATGCTAGGCACTGTAGGTGCAAAAAGTTACTTGGTAAACCAAACCTTATTTACTTTGGGAAAACTACTACTTAAAGTATCCTTGAGTTGTAAGATGCCCACAACTGTCTTATCCAACTCTGATGTTACTGCAAGTCAATGAGAAAACCCAGTATGGTGCTGGATTGCTGGGCATAGCTGCGAGCTCTTGAGCACAGAATAGCGTGATTCCAAGAAGGCTCAGGAACGGTGAGGCTGGGCTCCTAATTCTCCTGCTGGTGCAGTCTTCTTGAGGGGATGTTCCTGGAAGGTATTCTAGGAAGTTGTCCTAACCAGGCCCAAACTGGAGGGGCCTCAGGCATTCAAAGCCAGCTCATTGCCCAGGGAGCATTTAACCTGGCTTGGAGAGAACACGCAAGTGAGCAGGCCCACCAAGCAGCACCAATTCCTGGCTGGGCACTATGGAAGCCAGCATAGCATTGAGAGGAATCATGGGAGGCCTGGAAGGGACTCCAAAGAGAAGAGTTCCATGGGAGTGATCATGCAGAGGGCAGCTGGGGGGTACAAAGTATCACCTTGGTGATTAATAATTAATTCTGCCTTGGCTTGGCCCTTGCTTGAAAGGCTACAATGCCCACACCTACTTGATTCAAACAGGATATAGGTTCTAGACCTCAAATCTACCCCCTATCTGGCTTTATGAGCAGGAGCAAATCTTTCCAACCTGAGCTGTACTGGAAGACGGAGTCAAGAGTTAGAGTTTGCTGTAGTCAGGACCTAAAAGAATGTCCTTTTGTGTTTCTCTCTCTGAGCTCCAGGCTCTGCACCCCTGCCAGGCCCTCTTGCACAGCCTGTAGCAAACTGGGATTCTTAGTTCTCTCTCAGCCCCCTCTGCTCACACCTTGCTTTTCAGGGTCCCTAGTGGCCCTGCCCTCCAGTCCCCCAAACCCTTGCCGAACTGCACCTCCCCTGGGTTACTCCACCCTGGCAGTTTTGTCCTGGATGACCTCCGTCGCTATTCCGTGGACCTACGCTACACGGTCTTTCAGACCTTGGGCTCCATCCCCATCTCCACAGTCATCATCAACGAGACCAGTGGTAGCCGCACCATCCTCCATGCCTACAGGTTTGTGCACCTGTTTGTGCTTTGCCAGATGCCGCCACTGTCACCAAACGTCCAGGATAGGACCCTTCTTCTCTCATAGGCCATGTGCTCCAGCACCGCTTTCCCACTCCTGTGGGAGGTCCAAGCCATGTGTGGGCTCTAATCTGTGTCTCCTTGCCCTTTTTCTGGCTCGGGCTCCACCCCAAGCTTCCTGGTGGCTGACTTCAGGCGGCGAGGCATAGATGTGTCTCATGTGGCCTGGCAGAGTAGGGGGGACACCCCCTGCTCTTGCTGCATCGTCAACAACTCCAGTGGCTCCCGTACCATTGTGCTCTACGACACGTAAGGCCCCCTGGCCTCAACCTGCCACAACCCACCAATCAGTTCCCTCATTCACCACTGGGGACATCCCAGCTCCCCCGCCAATGGCTTCTCTGAATCAGAAATTGCCCCCAAGTCCAACTGTTCAGTGATTTCTGAATTGTTTTCAATTAGGGGAGAAGCGAGGTGGGAAGAGGTGGGTTCTGGTCTGCCTGGTCACTTGGCCTTGGTCAACACCGATAATGGGCAGGCAGACCTGTACAAAATGTGATTGATGATGTGATTCTTTCATAATTAGTCAATCAGCAGCTTGGGTGTGGGTGTGGGGAAATTGTTCCCAGGACAGAGGGGTGGGAGATGTAAATCAATCCATATTATACCAACTAGGACAAGGGACTCGGATTTTCAGAGTCAGCCCCAGGGTTGCCACCCTGGGCATGGCATCAAGAGCTGGGTTCTGTGTGTCCAAAAGGGATGAGGGGCACCCAAAAGTCCTAGCATGATGAAACCAAACACACCACACACCATTTGCAGCCATTGCTAATGGAGAGGGAAGGGAAACTGGGTCAGCAGGTCAGGACCATCTGATGTGGTGGTAAACTTGGGGATATCCCTCTGGTGTCCCACGGTCCTCAGGAGAGGTCCTGTGGGCCTTGACATTCCTTCCTCTCCAGATTCCTTCCTGAAGAATCCCAGAAGTTCAGTTTACTGAGAACCTAGTGTGTGCCAGGAACTCTTAGGGCTGGGAGGGCCCAAGCCCAGCTGCCCTGGGGTTCAGGCTCTCTATTGTCTAGCATGACCACTGGACCTGGGGAAGGGGGAGGTTATGTCAAGACAGACTTTATGATCCTTGGGGTCCATGTGTCCCAGAGTGAGTAGGTACACATATGTGTTAGAGGTGACATTAAGATTGGGCAGTCATGGTCATCTGCCCATGAAGCAACAATCTGGAGCAACTTTGATCAAGGATACAACATGAGACTCACAGAAGGGAGGGGAGGAACTTTGGGGAGAAATGTTTCTTGCCCACTGGTCTCTATCCAGACTTGTTCACACACACATCTCCAACTTCAGCAGGTGGGTTTCAATCCCATGAGGTTGGGGGTTTCAATGCCGTGGAGAGATGGGGAAGCAGCCTCAGGTCACACAGTTAGTGAAGTGGACCAAGGATTCAGCCTCAGAACACAAGGGAGGACATCAGCTGGGTGTAGGTCTCTGTCCAAGGAGGGTTGAGATAGATCTCTTCCTGGGTCTCCACATGTAGGACAGCCAAACATAAACTTTTCCTGAAGTGCCAACTCTGATCTCAGGGTTACAACAGGAAGCTGCTGAACTCAGAATAGGGTGCTCTGGGTGTTATGAACAAATTCCCAGTGCTGAAGCACCAGAACTGAGCAGGACTAGAGTTAGCTCCCAGCAGGGTGGCCATAGGCTTTGTAGTTCAATGGGAGAGAGCTCTGCTAGGAGCTAGTGTAGTCCTTGGCACTTTTAGAGCATTCTGGGAGATGTGGTCTCCAGAGCACACAGAGCTGGCCCCTTGGCACAGGTTGTAGTTGAGTTTACCCTTAGAAGTGGTACAACATCAGACTCAGAAAGGGGAACCTCAGCAAACTGTACAGAGCTTATCCTACAGCTGAAGCTGAGAACCCTGTGCTTCTTAGCACCCTGCTCCACCACTGGCAGTGCTAGTAGGCAGAGGGCCCCTAGCAGTCAGTCAGTCAGAGATCATGGCCCTGGCTGACCTTATGCCCTTTCTTCTCTATCCTTCCCAACTTGTGACACAGGAACCTACCAGATGTGTCTGCTAAGGACTTTGAGAAGGTGGATCTGACGCGGTTCAAGTGGATTCACATTGAGGCAAGCCCTGCCTTACCTGTGTTTCTAGGGGTTCAGCCTGCCAGGCCCATCCACATGTTCTGCTTCCTTCTTGGGTTCTTTGGACTATGAAGTACCTTAGAAATAAATGAATCCACCCCCCCACCTCCCCTCTCCATTCTTCCTAAGGCTTGCAGGTAAGAAAACTAAGGCCCGGAAGGACTGGGTGAAGGAGGCACTGGCTCTGCTACTTTTTGTGTTATGGTGGCCTTGCCTCGTCCAGCTCTACCTCTGGCAGGAGGCTGGCTGCTTAGGGGTTGACCTATCTTACATCCGAGGAAGCAGGAATAAGAGGATTGGACCCAGATCTCAAAGAGAACTAGAACCTTCATCCAGGGGAGAAGTTTTGAAGTCTAGTCAAAGGAAACCCCAAGGAGTCCTGAGTTCCAGCCCTATCCCACTCATTTAACTTACTGTAGGTCCTTCAGAAAGCCTCTTGTTCTATAGTGTTCACATCTGTGAAATGGGAGAGCTAGTTGGTAAGGTCTCCAGAGTCTATGGCAGCCCTAGAATTTTGTAACTTAGGATGAGGTTCCAGCTCAGCTTCCCCCAGCTCCTCTCCCTCCTCACCCAAAGTCCAACAGGGAGGGAGGATGAGCTGGATTGGCCAGAACTGCCTGAGCTGCCCTGTCCTGTCCCAGGGCAGGAATGTTTCAGAACAGGTAAAGATGCTGCAGCGGATAGAGCAGCACAATGCCAGGCAGCCTCCAGAGCAGAAGATCCGGGTGTCCGTGGAGATAGAGAAGCCCCGAGAGGAGCTGTTCCAGCTGTTTGGCTATGGGGAGTTGGTGAGTGCCCCTGCAGGCCCTTCTTGCCACATCCAGCTAACTCAGTTCTTAAAGGGAGCTGGAGAAGCCTCTGACCTGCCTGCCACACTCAAAATGGCTGCTCTGGGGTGGCAATGTTGGAAGGGCCAGAGCTCCAATTGTAGGTTCTCCAGTGGCCAAGAAGTAGGATTTTTCTACCTCAGGTGGGTGCACAGGAATAAGTGTGCCCAGAGGGTTTGCTCACGGCCTGGAAAACCACAGGCATCTCCTCTTGGGCCTCCTGACTTTTTCTCTGCAAAATGAGGGAACTGAACTGTTCTCTGGTTTCAGGCCTCTTCCAACTCTGGGGTGTGAGTGGCAGGTTGTAGAATCCACTAGAATTGAGGGGAAGGTGGGAGGGAGACTTACACAACTGGGCAGAGCCTAGTACAAATTCAATTTAGGTAACAATCCCAGCATCAAAGCCAAAGCTGGTTGGAGATGTCTAGCTTTTGGTCCTCAGCCTTGGTGTATCATTTTAAAAAACAAATGTCTGAGCCTCACCTCCTCATTTTTTTTTCTTTAATTGGTAGGGGTAGAACCAGCTCTTTTTTTTTTTTTTTTTTTTAACAAAAACTGTTTCTGGAGATTCGATTGTGTAGTTAGTGGTGGATTTCTAGAAACCCTAGAGCTTTGTTTTACAGATGAGGAAACAGGCTCTAGAGGGCACAGTGGTGTGGGGAAAACAAAACAAAACTATTCCTGAGAACCAGCGTGCTTTGACTGGACAGGATAGATTTCACCCCAAGATGGTGTTCCAGGCTCTCTGTGGGTTTTCAATTCGTTGATCCTAGAGCAAATAGACAGGGTTTTGCCTTCACAATTCACAAGGCTATAGTCTAGCATGTTTTAAGCAAGCATAAAAACGGGACAGCAAGATGCCATGTTGGAGATTTATGTGGCCATGTTGGGGGAATCATGCTATAGCCTAGGGCCACACAGGGCTTTTGTTGGTAAGTGAGTAGAGTTAGAGGTGGCTGCCAGCTTCTCTTCCACTGCCCACAGGTGTTTGTCAGCAAAGATGTGGCCAAGCACCTGGGGTTCCAGTCAGCAGTGGAAGCCCTGAGGGGCTTGTATGGTCGTGTGAGGAAAGGGTGAGTGGGGAAGCCAGAAGGGGCCTTAGGGAGTTGGTGGGGGAGCCTAGACTCCCAGGGTCTGCCTGACAGGTCTGGAGTTGGGCCAACCCCCAGCTGAGTGGAAGTCTTACAGGGCCACCCTTGTCTGTGCCTGGGCTGAGGAGGGTGCTGATGCCCTGGGCCCTGATGGCCAGCTGCTCCATTCGGATGCCTTCCCACCACCCCGGGTAGTGGACACTCTGGGGGCTGGAGATACCTTCAATGCCTCTGTCATCTTCAGCCTCTCCCAGGGTGAGTACCCCAGCCAGCAGGGTCAGGGCTGAGGCCTACCCTTGTTAAGAACACCAGGATGACCCAGCTATTGTCCCTCCTCTAGGCAAGAGCATGCAGGAGGCACTGAGATTTGGCTGTCAGGTGGCTGGCAAGAAGTGTGGCCTGCAGGGGTTTGATGGCATCGTGTGAGAGCCATGTGGCAGGAGACACTGGCTCATCATCTCCCGTGAAGGCTGGCATCACTGGCTACCATTGCCTTCGCCCTTCTGTCTAGCCTGGCATCCAGGCTGCCCTGAACCCAGGCAGATGTGGTCAGTAGGAAGGACTCTGCTTGGGTCCTGTGTCCTTTGTCCTTCCCTTTCCCCATATCTCACCCTGCAGAGCCTCAGATCAAATAAATCTTCCCCTGAGCCAGTTTCCTCTGGCCACCTATTTGTCCTTCTTGATGTTGAAACTGCTCTGAGACTTTAACACTGTGGTCTTTCCTCTTTTTCTCCATTCCCCAAATTAACCTCCACAACTCCCAGAGGAGTTGCTGCCACAGCAGCAGGAAGCACCTGGTCTTGTTGTCAGCTGTGTGGGAGGCTCAGCTTTCCCCTGTGAAGATAGATCATCCACGAGTAGGGGAGAGGGAGAGAACTTGAGCTCTCTTGGTTGAAGAGGACATTTCATGCCACAGCCCAGCCATCCATCCAAATAACCAGAAGCCTTGAGGAAAGCCTCTGCTCTGTGCAGGTTCCACTCAGAGGCCCCAGAGCCAGGAGTCAGCATGCCAGACCACAGGCCAGGGAGCAGGAGCCAACTCTGTGGTTCTGTGGGGCCCTCATCGTCCAAAAATACCACTTCCCAGAGTCTGTCGTGTGGTGAAGGTGCAAATGTGGCCCAGATACAAAGTGTTGCTGTCCCTCTGGTAGGTCAGGTCCAAATGGTCCAAATCCTATTGTGGCCAACTCCCATATTGGAGTTGGCACAGGAATGGTGACTCCATGTAACGTGATCAAGAGCATGGGTATCAGCCTGAGCTCTGAATTCAATTCTGCCATTTATTAGCCATGTGACACTTTATGGCCCATTATTTAACTCCAACTTCTGCAATTCCTTTTATGTCAAATGGGGCTAATTCTGCCTGGTCATAGAATTATTGTGAGGATAAAAATCAGACAACCTAAAATGTCAGCATCGTACTTGGTATATACTAAGCTCTCAATAAAATGATAGTTATTACTGATATTACTGGGGGGTGTTGCACAGAGACAGGGCGATAGGGACCATCTGTCCTGAGCTGCAGAAGGGCACAGGGCATCTGAACTCAGGGAACAGGAGGTTGTTTGGGCCCCAGGGGTAGACTGAGCCTTCTTCATGGAGTTATCTGCAGCTAGTACTAGAGACTCTGCTGTCTTGGCACCCCAGGCCCAGGCACACTGGGAAAGCTGAATTTCTGCCCCTCCAAGAGGCCTGTCTAGTTCCCAATGCCCTGTGCCTGCCGGGGATGGACTGGTGGAGAAATGGCCCAGGGGAAGAATTCATTTCATTGTTTATTTGTTGTTTGGGCCTGAAAGCTGTCCCCTAACTTACGGGGCCCCCTAAGCTCAGAAAGACCTGCACAGAAAGACCTGCCATCCACTGGGGCCAGAAAGGGGACCCAGAGGTGGTCCTCATTCCAACGTATACACCCCCACCCTTTGAGCTTATGTTCCTTCACAGAGAACACAAGGGACACAGGCCTGTCTCCTCCAGGCTTACATCTCATCATTGTCCAGTTGAATATTATGGACCTCAAACTCATTTGGGGTGTTCTTGGACTCCTGTGTTTCTCCTGGAAGCTCTTTGCCTTCCCTTCCATTGTCCCTAGCCACTGCCTGTCCCGGGGCCTCCCCTCCAGGACCTGGGGCATCTCCTTCAGCATCTACCTGTCCCCTGGCCTCCCCTCCAGGACCTGGAGCATCTCCTTCAGCCTCTACCTGCCCCCTAGCCTCCCCTGTGGAGCCTGGGGTATCTCCTTCAGCCCCCGCCTGATGCCCAGCCTCCTGTATAGGCTCCAAGGATTCCCTTCTGGCTTCTTCCTGGCCTCCGGCTTCTTCTCTGAGACCCAGGGCTTCCAGGGTTTCTTGTTTCAGTGGGATCTTAGCCAATGGGGGCTGTCTTCCAGCAGCTTGTAGTTCCTGAGGAGCTGGAGCGAGGGGCTCTCTGGGCTCTGTATGCCCTGCATTCCCAGGGGCCTCTCCTGGGAAGTTGATGAGCTCTGCAGGGGTCATGAGCCCATCCCTATTCAGGTCCTGGGTCTCGAGCACCTTGTCCACTACCAGGATCACCTGTGGAAGCACAGAATCACCATGGAGTCTCTAGTGTCCAAAGATGTTCCCCGGAGCCTTGTCCCTTCCCAATGCCCCCCATTCCTGCCATGCAGGATCTAATCCCCCTCCCTCTTACAGGAAATCTGTAAAGAGTCATGATGAAAATATCCAAAGTGCCAAGGAGCTGGTCTCCTGGTCTCCAGCAGAGCTTACCGGGTTGATGGGAAAGTCAGCAGCCCTTGGAGCCAGAGCTGCTGTCAACATGGACAAGAGCTCCAGGCCATCCAGCTGTCCACTCTGGTCATAGTCATGGAGGGCAAAAAGGTAGAGGAGAACTGGGGAGGAGAAGCTGAGTTAGAAGAGGCCCTGAGGACGGGTGGAGAAGGCAGGAGCCAACAGGGCAGCCGGGGCTCAGTCCCAGTCTGGCTGCCCTGAGCCTCCCAGCCCAGCAGCCCAGCAGCCCCTCACCCTGTTCCCGATTCATGTGCTCTGGCTCCTCTTCCATTCTTTCTAGTCCCTTTAGGTAGTTCTGCAGAAGTCTGTTGGGAAAGTAGCAAATCAGCCCCGGCAAGGCCAGTCCCCAGGCCTGACATAGTCACCCAAGGACCCAGCCCAACCTACTCACCGGAGCTGCTCTGGGCCTGGCTGGAAGGGGTTGGACAGGGTCTGCTGCTGAGCTTCAGGGTCTGGCCTGGAGGAGAGAAGGACCAGCGTTGCAGAGAGCCCAACCCGCCAGCCTTCCACCACTGTATCCCAGTAGAGTTCTCTCCCCAGAACCAAAGGGAGTTGTTCTCTCAAATTCCCAAAACCCTTGTGGGGAAGAAGGCTTCCGGACTCCTTGGATTTTGTTTTTGCAATTGCCTTGTTTAGATGTTCAGTGAAAACCCAAAGAAAGTATCAGGTGAAGGCCAGGTGCGGTGGCACTTGCCTGTAATCCCCGCATCTCGGGAGGCTGAGGCAGGAGGATCAGGAGTTCAGAGCCAGCCTCAGCAAAGCGAGGTGCTAAGCAACTCAGATCCTGTCTCTAATAAAATATAAAATAGAACTGGGGATGTGGCTCAGTGGCCCAGTGCCCCTGAGTTCAATCCCAGTGTCCCCTCTCCCTACAAAAAGAAAGTATCAGATGAGGTAGAGGCCAGATGAGGCCACACCTTATAGACGCAAGTCAGGGGCCTAAGAAGACAGTCCAATGAGTGGAGGACAACATGGATCATGGCAGCCTACTCCTTCATTGCTGGGAGCCAAGGAGCAGGTCTCTACCTAGGCCTGGCAGTGTCACCCAGGTTTAGATAGATAGACAGATCGCAATTAACTATTTTTTTCAAGGAGAGGGTGCATATGTCAAAATGTGCTCCCAGTTCTAGATGGAGCTACCTGTTTGCCCTTGTCAGTGCAGGCTTGTAATCCCAGAAAGCTGGCAGGAGTTGTTGCAGTCATTTTGGTCACAGGTGCCAGCCTTTGCCACTCTTCCTATATTTTTCTCCATACCTACCCAGTATATCCAACTGCACAGCATAAATAAATAAGACCTTCAAAAAGTGATTCTATAAAACAGAAGTGACGTGGGAATGATGTCTATTTCTTTGGTATTCCCACAAGTAGGTCTTGATTAGAGGACCAGAGCCCTTTTCCTGGCCTCTGGCTTCTTACTGGCGCTTCACCCATATTGGAGCTGAGTTCTCGGCTTCCAAAGGGCTTCAGCCAAGTGTTGAATGCCAATGTTGTGACATTCTGATAGGCACAGGACAGGTGGTTGGGGTGGGGGATTCAGAGTTCAGGGAGCCTACTCCCCAGTCCCAGCTCCCAGAGGCACCCACCACACCCTCTGAGTTCTCCCAAAACTCTCCCTGGTCCAGCCTAGGCCCTGCCCTCCTAATCCCTTACCTTGTGGCGCCATCCTTGGGAGCAGCTTGACTCAGCGGGAGCAGCAGCAGTGGCAGCATTAACGCTCTCATCTGCCAAGGTGACATCCTTCCTAGAACTGGATCTGGGAATGGAATTAGGGTGTCAGGGGACAGGGGTGTCTGCCACCATATTGGGAACCAGTTGGGTCAGACAGAAATGTCTTCTTTCCTTGCCTCTACCTGCAGTGCAGGGGACAGGACTCTTGCCCAGGGAAGATTCCTGGGTGGATCTTAGCACATGGCACTGTGTTCAAAATCCATCCTACTCCAGCTCTAGCCCATAAGAGCAGTGCTGGGGGGCAGGGGCCCCTCCCCAGAGTATATGCATTCTGTCCCTGTCAGCCTGCAGGGTGCTCAGAGAGGTACCACCTTAAGTGGCACCTAACTTTAGTTCAGGTCACTTGTTTTTGTTTATTTTGCAGTGCTAGGAATGAACCCAGGGATTTATTTAAAAAAATGTTTTTTGACTAGTAAAGCAATCTTCTACTGAGCCACATCCCCAGCCCCAGGCCATTAAAAAAAATTTTTTTTTTTTGTAGTTGTAGATGGACAGAATGCCTTTATTTTATTTGTTTATTTTTATGGGGTGCTGAGGATCGAACCCAGTGTCTCAGGCATGCTGGCAAATGCTCTGCCTCTGAGCTGCAGCCCCAGCCCCCAGGCCATTTGTTTTATAGACAGAAAGGGAAAAGACAAGATTAGCTACTCAGGGAGTCATATGAAGACCAAGACCTAAACAGAGACACAGACAGGGAGACAGATTGTTAGCTTGTGCTTATTAAAAACACACTGGAAGACAAATCCAAAAAAGGCACAGACTCCTTGAAAAATTCAAACTAAGGTATAGACTGAAAGCACCAAATCAAAGTCCAACCACAGTGGCCCAGGAGTTGCTGTTTACCAAAGGCAGTTAGGAAAAGCAGATCTCAGTATAAAGGAAAAAATAAGAATTTCCCCTGAGAGCTATATTATGTAGGTTCATACGCCAAAAAAAGAAGTCACTTGATTATATGGAAAGAGTCAAATTGGCGGAGCCAGGGTTGTGGCTCAGCACTAGAGTGCTTGCCTAGCTGCATGAGTCACTTGGTTCGATCCCTGACACCACATAAAAATAAGCAAATAAAATAAAGGTATTGTGTCCATCTACAACTAAAAAATAAATAAATGATTTTTAAAAAGAGTCAAATTGGATCAATTGATGAAATCAATCAATTGAAAACAAAACACAAAGCTTTCTGATTAGCTCCAGGTGTGTGTATATATTAATGTGAATTTTCCAGGAAGTAAAAGCCCACCAGAGTTCAGCTCTGAAACCCTAAACCCATCGTCAGATGCTTGATGGTCAAAGCAGAGGATCAGGAACCCCCTCACATGGTACCCTACACTCTGGCTGACACTGGATTTTCCTAGAGGGAGGTTTGTTAGTGTAGTTAGCTCGAGATGAAAAGGAATGGTAGAAGGGGAAATGAGAGACAGGGTGGCTATAAAAGGGTCCCTAACTGGCAACTGACCTAGAAGACTCAATACCCATTGTGCCACACCATGAGGGCTATAGAAAAGTAGGTAGACCACTCAGAGCCACTGAAGGACATCACCAGTCTCCCCAGCTGCTACATTCCAGAAAGAGATCGATCACATCCTTCATGGATTTATGGGTGCACATCATATTGCCAAGGTCACATGTACCCACAAGCTGCTCTGAGGGTCAGGTGACTATTATATGACCTTCTGCTGGAAATGCTAGGTCAGAAAGGACCAAGTGACCCAAGTACGCAGGCACATGCCATGAGGGATTGAACCCAGGTGCACTGAGCTACCTTTTTTATGTTTTATTTTGAGACAAGTTCTTGCTAAGTTGCTTAGGGCCTCACTAAGTTGCTAAGGCTGGCCTTGAATTTACAATCCTCTGGCCTCAGCCTCCTGAGTTACTGGGATTACAGGCTTGTACCATCATGCCTAGCTGCTCTCAGTTTTCACACAGCACAGGCATATGACTTCCCCCAAAACAGGCAATAAGCAAGACAACCTCTGGGCCCAGAGAGGCATGGCTACCTGCCACTCCAAGATTTAGCTCTACTACAAATTCCCAACTCCAATTTGGGCCTATAATAATTTCCATTGGTAAAGCCTAATCATTTCATTAGGTCCCTGGCTGATCTGTGGAGCCCTCTCTCCAGGGTGTATTTCACTTTCTCTTTCCTTTCCTACAATAAACCTGCTCTAATCCCTGCCCTGCTGTACTTCTGTTTCTGCACCTGAGTAATTATCCTAATTTTAGGTATTGCACCCAAATACTGAGGATCATTTAGAGTTGACTCTCAACTTCTAGAAACAAGTTCATAACTTTCATTCAATTCTCCAAGAGTTCCACAACCCCTAATAAAGTCCAGAACCACTGCTAGAGTGGACATCAATTTCCTGTGAGGGGTGGAGCAGATGAACATCTGGCTCATGGGGAGATAAACGAAAATTCTACCTTTTTGAGTGACCTTGAGCAAGAATCTACAAAGCATGGAAGTCCACAAAAAGGTGAAGCCTCAGTGATGGTAGAACCTGTCTTCATTTTTCTATGGGTATGATTGGCCCAAACAGCCACAGTGAAGACACATAGTTTATTGGTGTCTCTAAGCCCCAGTCACCAAAAGAATGTTGAAACCACAGCTTCCCTAAAAGTGTTTGCCAATACCAGCTAGCACTTACAGATCCTTGGGTTTTAGTTGTTGTGCCCAGAAGGAGAAAAGGTCTTGGGCTTGCTCAAGATAGGCAGTTGGCACTGACATCTCCATATCAACATGTCACCCTCAAAGGCATATAGACCAGTAGCTGAGTGAGCCAGCAAAATGCCCAGACTGCCACGTCTTGTAGTATGATAGTAAGTGTCCCAAAGAAAGAAACTAAAAAGTTGGATAAAAATAGAGTATCTTTTCAAAAGCATCGAGTTGGCAAGAAATTTTCAGTGCACAAAAGCACCGTGGAAATAGTAATCTGGGAGAAAAGAAAGCTTGACGTCAGCTTTTGCCTCAAGAGTGGCCGCCAAACTCAACCCACATGAACTTGAGCTAGCAGTTTGAGTGCTGCACGTAGCAGAGGAGATCAGCAATAAAAGTTGGGTTCACCAATATGAAGAGATGAATAGGAAATTTCCTAGGTGAAGCTGGCTCCAAAGAGCTATGTCTTCAATACAAGGGTGAACAAAAGTTTGCCATGAAGAAAGGAAGCAAATCTGCCTATCTTGACAGTGGCACCAGGTAGAGGGAGGAAAAAAATTCCCCTGAGAATTTGATTTAGCAGGGAATTGAACCCAAGAGTACTTAAACACTGAGCCCCACCCTCAGCCCTTTTTATTTTTTATTTTGAGACAGGGTCTCACTAAGTTGCTTAGAGCCTCGTTAAATTGCTGAGGCTGGCTTTGAATTCACAATCTTCCTGCCTCAGGCTTCAAGGCAATGGGATTACAGGCATGTGCCACTGCACTCGGCTTCCCTGAGAATTTGTTCTAATGTGGGTATGAGGACTGGATTAATGCAGATGTATGGTTCAGAAAACCTAGAACCATAAATAATTTATTTTGAAGGCGATTTGGTTGGTCGTGGCTCCAACTGACTGACAGGAGGGACCCAACTCCAATTTGGGCCTATAATAATTTCCATTGGTAAAGTTTCAAGAAATTTGAACTCACAGCCAAAAAGTTATAAATATGAGAAGGAATAAGACATTGTGAGTGAAAGTCAGCAGAACAAGAGCAGGCAAAAGTAGGCCTGCAAAAATGAAATTGCTATATTGGAATTATCACACATGAAATATAAAGTAAGTGTATTAATATACTTTAAGAAATTGAAGGGAAGCTTGAAACTATGAGAAAGAAATGAGATTATAAAAATGATCATGTCTGTAATCCCAGCAACTCCGGAGGCAGAAACAGGAGGATTACAAATTCAAGGCCAGCCTCAGCAATTTGGCAAGGTCCTAAGCAATTTAGCAAGATCCTGTCTCAAAATAAAAAATAAAAAGGGCTATAGCTCAGTGAAAAAGTGCTTTGGGGTTCAATCCCCAGTACCCAATCAATCAATCAATCAAGTAGACTTGAAGAACAAAATCAAAATTTTTAGAAATAAAAAACTAATTTAAAAAATGCAACAGGTAAGTTAAATAGATTAGACATAGCTGATATGAAAATTAATGAGCGGGCTGGGCCTGTGGCTCAGCGGTAGCGCACTTGCCTGGCATGTGTGAGGCACTGGGTTCGATTCTCAGCACCACATATAAATAAATAAATAAAGGTCTATATCAACAACTTAAAAAAATTTAACAAAAGAAAATTAATGAATTGGAAAATAGATCTGAATAAATTATTCAGAATGAAGTTTACTGAGTTAAAGATAAAATATAAAACAAAGGTTAAGCAGTATGAAGGATGGAAAAAACAATAGACAAAATTAGATAGAAGCAGTATTTGAAAAGATACTAGCTGAGACTTTTCCATAAGGTTGCAAAACACTAATATTCCAACCCAGGAAGCCCAACAATCCCACATGGACTAAATAAACAGAAAGACATCTCTGAACCTATTGTTCTTAAATTATAGAACATCAAGAAAAAGAGAAGGTAAGGTGCTTAGACTGACAGCAATTTCCCCACAGTAAGTAATGCCAAAATGCAGTATTAGAGAATTTGTATGTGTTCAGAGAGCAGGAGTCAATGCTATTTTAGAATTCTGTTCTCAACAAAATTATCTTTCAAGGCTATGGTTATAGCTCAGTGTTATAGCTCAGCTTAGCATCAATTCCCAATGTGGCAGGAAAAAAAAAGTCTTCAAAGAAGTAAAATGAAAACAATTTTAGATGAACAACTTAAGGGAATTTATCATCAACATTTCTTCATCGAAGGAAGTTCTAAGGAATAATTTCTGGGAAAGGATCTTAGAAGGGAGGTCTGAAATGCAAGGAAAAATGTTAAGCAAAGGAATTAGAGAATACATGAGTAAATCTAAACAAACAGACCATTAAGCAATGATAATTAGGTTAATAGATGGAGCAAAAAAGGTCTGAACTACAATATATAACAATAAAACACATAAAGTGAA